CTCTCCCTCGCTCTCTCTCTCTCTCTCTCTCTCTCTCTCTCTCTCTCTCTCTCTCTCTCTATCTGTTCATTCAATTCTTCGCTAACTTTCTTTTCTTGTTCAGAGAATATTTCTCTTGCGTTTGAACATCGTTTGTACCTAACAATATTCTTAAAAGGCCATCAGATGAAACGATTAATGATTGAACGAATGTGAAATTGATAAACCAGAAGAAGATACGTCCGCATACTACATCTTCTCTCAGAAGTCACCAATACTCACCAAAATCGTTGAAAATCTTTTTCTATATTTCTCTCTCTCTTTTTCTACTTCAGCTCAAATAGTTTATGGTGAAAACTGCCGCACCCTTCCGGATCATTCTGGGCCTAACAACAGCGATGACGAGGTGATGATTGTAATTGAACAAATTCTGCGTGAAACGAGAAGATTTTGGAGGAGTATCGCTGAAATGAATGAACGACAATCCATCAAATTCCTCTGAATTTCTTTTTCGCTTTACGTCATTCGAATCTTACGAGCTTCTCACAACTAACGACGTCAATATTCCTCGTTCAAAAGTTATTTTTCGTCGTGAACGAGAGAAGCTGAATGGAAATTTGAGCAAATGCTTACCTAATTAGAAAATTTCAGATTATTTTTAGTTTCGAGCCAATAAGGATATTGTCTTCATCAGTAAGGTAAGCTCTATATGGTGGCTATGGAAAGCATCCTGGTTGTAAATAGTGAAAAACAGAAAAAGAAGAAGAGAGAAGAGAAGGAAAACTTATTTCCTTATTTGGGCATCAGAAGACCATTCCACAAAAACCTCATATTACCAATAATAGAGCATCGGATTTCTTAAATATTTTGAAGAATGGGCAAAAAAGATTTTTGTTTGAAATTCATTTGAGTATCACTTTTTTTGGTTTTGACGAAGGGAAGAGAGGATTGTTAAACGAAAAAATGAATCCATCATGGACTCCATAATTGGTATTAGCCAAACTATCCAAAAGCTATTGATGTTTCATTACGTTTAATTCCAAAATAACAACACAAGCTAGATTTGCTGTTTCATTGATTAGAAAACTGCTTACTTATTTGGTGAATTTGGCTGAAAACATAAATAACTTTTGATTCTTTGTACTCGGACAAGCATGTGAAACCTCCTCAATGACTTTCTCAATCAGCGTTCCAATATCATAGAGCTCATTCTGTTCCGGCACGTACTCAACTGACCGTAATGATTTTGACTTTTCATCATCTAACTGATGTGTCTGCAATTCTTTTTTAGCTTTATCTACTTTCATTTAGACATTACATGTATCTTAGAAAAACCAGTTACAGTCAACGGACCCTTGGCCGTGAATAGCAGCATATCAGCTGGATCAGTTTCTATTACATCCGGCATTACACCTTCCTAAAGACAATTATCGCAATGTTAATATGAGAAAAGCAAAGCCCAAACTTCGTGTGATGATTCATCTGCATCATTCCTTCCTTAACTTAAAGTCTTTTTGAGAAATAAAACAGGAGTTACCAAATCGTCTCCTCAGTTTCGTATACAGAAGTGTTAAGATAATGAAAAGAATGAGGATGAAAATCGATATACCAATAAGTATCAGAGAGAATTGTCTAAAACTGATTGAAATGAAGTTTTCCTTAAAAAAAACCTGATATCAGTTGATGAATCAAAGTCATTGATGTCAAGTTTTGGGGGATCGGATGCCTTCTCGTTCATTTACTTTTTATCCGTCAAACTTCAGGAATGAAATTATTTTCACGTCGTACACGTGGCACCACAGTATGTAAATTAGCCGCGAATCGATTTGAAACCAGAAAGATCACTTCCAGCACCAAAAATCTTATGGTGAGAAATGGGAAAGAAGTAGTTTGTTCGTGTGTATATTCCTTTTCCATTTCATTTTCTAATTTATTGAAAATTAATGAAAATGAGACATCGTCCTCCTACATATAAGTATCCAAGGTGCAATCTCCCTTGTGAGGCACTCTCTTAACATTTACGCTGTAAAAAGTTTATTTGAAATATTTAATTACAATGCTCTACCACATCATACTTTATTCCGCTGCACCGTTTGCTTTTTTATGCTTATTTCTCTCGTTTTACTGTACCGTGAATTCACCTATCGGCATGTCTAAGAAATACAAATACTTCTTAAGTATTCAATGCATTCTGTAAGATTCATTTTTCTCTATTCCATCAATCGGTATAACGCTGTAGGTCTTGTACATCCTCTCTCTTTTTATCTCTTGGAACTCACCCAATCATCTTCTCGCCATGTGCTGCAATGTATTCTACTGGATTATTCAAACATTTGGGGATTTCATCTTTAGGACAGGCTGTTTTACAAATTTGTCTGCTCGCATGTATGTTTTGAGGGGAATAACAACCGTTCGCCTTCGCCGTGGGAATAAAAATGAAAATTTCAGCTTTGATTGTTCCAGATATCCATGGAGTTACTTTGATCCTATTTTACATTCAATATGAGTCTTTGGACTTCGGGACGGTTAAATTGAAGATCCGAATTTTTCGTTGGTGTTGTCTCATCAAATGGACATTCATATATGGCATTGTTCCGACTGCTGTTTCGATGATTATGAAACTTGAAAACCAAGAAGAGAATCTGAAGCGTTGTTCACAAGTACCATCTCTTCTCATAAATTTTAAAGCAACTTTCTATCAGATAGACGAGTCAAATCACGACTTCTTACTGTCACAGGGTTTGATCATGTTCACCTTCTACAAATCTGGAAAGTTGTGCACTATCCTAATGCTTAATTGTATAATCGGTGCGGTAACCTTAACATTCTCCATAATGGTTTTCGGTGTGCTGACTTCAAGAAGAATACGTCAACTGAGGAGTAGACGGTCTATACAGAGCATTAAAAAGCACAAAGTTGTTGTTCGCATGTTATATATCCAGGAAAGATTAATTCATGAATTAGAAAAATAAAGAAATTTCTTCAGGTTGCTCTTTTTGGATTGTTCACTGCTGGACCAGTCTGCGTCTCCATGTTGCTATCATCAATGAAAGTATACATCCCAGGTAAACTTGCTGAACATATGCGCGTATACATGAATGTCATTTGAGACGGACAGAACTACTGTGTCGCTGTAGCAGCTTACTCCGGAATAATGAGTACATCTTACACGTTTTATACATTCACATCTTATAGGAATTGTATTTTAAACTTATGTCATAACACTGTGCGAGCTATTCGATCATCTTGCTCCTTCTAACAATCATTATATCTTATAGCAAATGTATTTCAGCGTAGATAGAGAGAGAGAAGAGGAACTGCCATTTATTTGGAGAAATATTTATTCAAATTAGGATATGCCAAAATTTCATTACATGTTTTCTAAATCTTCCAAATAAAAAACTTGTAACCTGTAATTTGAATTCGTTTACGAATTTAAAAAAGTTCCTTCTTCTCACTTCTAATAATGTTTTATAATATTTTACTTTTATCTCTTACTCCTATAAGCATTACATGCCTTGTTCTATCCTTGTACTGTGTTATATTCCAATCAACTGCCCTCATGACTAAAGTTAATAAATCCCTACTGACAGGAAGTTGTCTTTTGTATGTTTTAACAAACTTCTCATCTTTTTCCTTACTTTTATATTATTTTTTACAGTTCTTGCTTCTCTACGTTATCATTATCGATTGGTTCACATCCAGTGCTTCTAACTCCATGCTTGGCTGGATATCCAATGGGTCTTCTCAAAATTCTAGGAGTTCCCACAATCAAAGTAACAGGAATACAAATTGATTTCATTTCGTGTGAGTACTCTCTAGTTTACTTCCTCCAATTCACATCAAATTGCAATTGCTAATGATTATTTTGAAGAGAGATAAAAGTGATATTTCAGACCTTGGTGGTACTAACATTATGTTATTCTTCTCCAGATATGAAATACTGAGATTAAGCCCAAGCACAAGCTTGAGAACTGTTTGGCGCTATCTTTTCGGTAGTGTTTGTTTCATGGCTTACTTCTTGGTATTAACAATTCTTGGACTTAATTGGAGTGTAGAAAACATTGATTATGTTCGTGATGAATGCTTGAAGGTATCAACATGATAAAAAGAAAAATCAAAGAACGAAATCTTCAGGTAGTTATTGGTGACAAATATCCGTTGTATTATGAAGAAACTATCATTGTTTCATATTTTGATTCTGGAGAAAACACCTTTGTTTATATAACATACTGTTTGTCCCTTTCATGTTTGTTCATCATAATCATAGCTCTTCTGGGATTCTTAACAAGAAAAAATCTGTTAGCATTGAGCTCTAGCTTATCCAGTTCATCTATGCGGAAGCATCATGCTTTCATCCGCTTGTTAGTTACGCAGGTTGGGCAGCTCAAATACTTGGAATATTTCCTCTTATCTTTAGACCATTCTCTTAATGGTAATGATGGTTGGCCCCGCTGTTATAGCTTTATTAATTCATTTGATGACCCTACCTATATCAAGTATTTGGAAACATCAAGACGAGAGAAATAGCCTTCATTTTCAGATTCTCAGAATTATTGCATTCTCACCATCGCGTTTGGCGGAATACTATCCGTTATTCACATCATGTACTCCATTCCTTCATACAAGAAAGCCATTATTCCTCTCTTCCACTAATCATTTATACTAAAAAAACAATAGACTCATTCGTTTTTTTATCATAGTTTTGGATGAGGTGTCAATCTTTATGATTGATTTAATGTCAATCTTTATCAGAACTATGATGAACAGCTTACATCATAATTGTTTGTTTATGACCAGAAGGTAAAAATCGGAATAAAGATTTAAACAGAAAAAAGTATTTCAAAGGAACATACTTTGTTAACAAGTACGGCTGCAATCTGAGACATGTTCTTATCACCTAATACCTACATTCGTTCAAAAGTTGGAAGTGATGTTCCTCTTCTGTTACGTATTCATCGTTGATACTCCAACCTACCTGATAATATGAACACTCCCTTCTCATTATTCCAAGAATACTGATATTCTTCTCATTTTCTCAGAAGTTCTGTGAACTGCGCTCTTCTGTACAGTGAGTGTTCTCTACCCATAACTCAAGGAGTTCAGATTCATTCGAAGTGATAAGAAACAAACATTAATCGGAAAAAGAGGATAAAAAGGTGGTCATGAAGTATTTAATGAAGATTATCTTATGATTAATATCAAAACGAACAAACAACTTCGATGCAACTCATCGTTATACCTTTTTACCAAAATAACCCTGCAAACGCTGTTTTTCAAAGAAAGCATAATCACAAAAAAAAACATACACATGCGAACAGCTTATGGTGAATACGCCAAAGAGGCTTTGATGGGTTCTTGAAAAGTATCAGAAATGATAGTTACATCCTGTTCGATCAAAGATGATTCGCAATGTTACAAAGTGACCAACAGTTTTGTTGACTGCAATCATATGCTGCAGAGTTCGAACAATCATTTGAAACTAGACTATATACTATTTGAGATTGAGCGAGAGCGTAGACGAGACAGATCAAAAGCTTGAACCTCAAAAATGGAGAAATAAGAATGGATAACCAGAGAATAACTGTTTTTTTTTGTCAATATTTGACAAGAAATAAATGGGTGGGCTGTTAGCAATAAGCTTAATAGAGTGGGAGGAAAGTTATTTAATTTGAACATTAAAAAAACAGTTTGACTTTTGTTCAATCGGAGGTCCAAACAGGGTCATCTGACAACAAAAAACTGAACAAAGAATGATATCATTAAGATTCAGCTGACCAAATATAGTGGAAAAACTTATAAAAAGATTTTTTTTCTGTCAGTCCGTCATACTCGATATTTAGTTTAGTAAATTATCCGTTGATAACTTATTTCTTTTCCTTAACCCTTGGTTGTATTCAGAATCGGATTATGAAGCTGCTCTGCTCGTTATTGCTGCTGTGTTGTCTAGCTTCGGCTTTCAATCCTTTCCGCAATGAAGCTGAGAAATCTTTGAGGAAAACTATTTTTTCTCAGGTAGTTAATTATAATATCACAAACATTCTCTAGTTCCTTACAGAACTTCAATAGAAACATCAGTCGTGTAGAGGAGAAGTTGCAAGCAATGAAGGCGAAATTTGCAAAGAAACTTAACGAAACCAGAGTGGAGAAGAACTCAATAGTTAAACCTTCTGAGGTATCATAGCAACCTAAATTCATCTCATAAAGCTTTGCAGGAGAGAGAAAGTAAAAAAGTAGAGCTCATCAATGAGAATGGCGATAACGTTGAGGAAGTCAATGAGATAGCTCAAGTTGACGAGTTCCTTTACCAAAACGACATCATGCTCACAGAGTAAGTAGTGAAAATGAATTCTACAGTATCTTCATTAAGAGAGCAAATCGATATGATTAGTGAGGATAATCAACCAATGAGCAGATCAAAGAGACAAGCTTATAGAGACAGGTCGAGACACTTCTGTGTGAAGAAGCATATTCCTCCATTTCAGATACTACCCAAGATTTTTATGGACCAATAATATTGTGTATTACTATTTCGACTCATCTTGTAGTAAGTCTCTCTATTGGAATCATTTGTAACACACTTCATTTTCGCTGAAAGCATGAGAACAGTTTTCCAAAAAGCTGCCAATATTTGGGCTCAATCAACATGTATAAGCTTCGTTCAAAGTTCAACAGGTGACAAAATCTCTCTTCCCATAGTGTAAAAGGTTATTTAGCAACGAATAGAATAAAAGTGTTCAAAGGGCAAGGATGTTACTCTTACATTGGAATGATCGGCGGTGATCAGGAACTTTCATTAGGAAGCAACTGTGATACTGTAAGCTGCTTATTGTGAACATTCCTTATCAGAGATGACAAATTAAGGTTGGAATAGCTGCTCACGAAATCGGTCATGCTTTGGGCTTTTTCCATCAGCAGTCGCGTCATGATAGAGACCAATATATAACTTTAAGTGTCAATAACATTAGAGTGAGTTAACGTGTAAATGTTGTGCCGAAACAAATTTTCTGAAGGAAGCCATGTTGGGACAGTTCGATAAAGAAACTCAAAGCACAAATAATAACTATGGAATGCCTTATGATTATGGAAGTGTAATGCATTACGGAGGAAGAAGGTGATATTTTCCTTGTTTTATCAATTCTCGCATGAACTTTCAAACTTTCAGTTCATCCATCAATGGAAATCCAACGATGACTGCTAAGAATGCTAATTACCAGAGCACCATGGGCTCTGACATAATTGGTTTCTATGACATGTCAATGATCAATACACACTACAACTGCAGAAGTTTGTTCTTGATAAATCTAGGAAAGAGTTAGAGATAGAGAGAGTATGAAGAAAACAGTCGAATGAAATTGGAGAAAGCAACCGATCATCTCTTGCCATTATGTTGAAATGACTTTCTGGGCTCATGTAGAGATCTCTACCGTCTATATGGGAGTACCAACTTCTTCATCAGATAATACTTCAGATAACTGCTCCGCTGCATCATCAGCTAAATGTGTTAATGGCGGCTATCCTAATCCAAAGAGTTGCCAAGCTTGTGTTTGCCCCGGAGGATATGGAGGAACACTTTGTGATGCTCGTGTTTGTTCTAAACATAAAAAAAAAAGAAATTTGGTTCAATTTTCAGCCTTCCGGATGCGGTTCAGAATTGACACCAACTACTGCATGGAAAACGTTGAAGTCAACGATGGGCAATGGACAAACTGTACCTGATATATCATTCTGTAACTATTGGATCAAGGTGATACATCAGATTCGTTTCGAGCTATTTTATTGAAATCAAGCTCCCATACACGTTTATCTCACAACTACCTTACACTGAGTTATTATATTCTGAAAACAATTTTGAAGGCTGCTTCTGGACAGAAGATCGAAGTTCGTATGAAATCGTACAGTGGCGTTATGACCGATGGGTGTGTTTATGGAGGTGTAGAAATTAAATCACAAGATGATGCATCAATGACTGGCTATCGGTAATCATTCTAAAACGTTTTTGAGGGTCGTAAAACTGCTGCGTTTTCAGTTTCTGCTCCAATGCAGATAAAGACAAAAGTTTCATTTCCAAGTCAAATATTGTTCCAGTCATAATGTATGATAGATATGGACGAACAACAGTCGAAATAGAATACCGTTTATGTAAATTATAAAGTTCAAAAATTATCTATAGGATTGTCATTTTACAGCTGGAGCGACCTCATCACCAACATCTGCAACTACTTCAACACCTGGTTGCACTGATAACTCTGTCAAGTTAGTTTATCTTCATGATTTTTCTTCAATTATTCAGATGATATCATAAAGTTAGATTAATTATGTTATAGCTGCTCATTATACTCACGTTATTGTGATAAGAGATGGATCCAAAGCATTTGCCCGAAAACTTGCAAAACTTGTTAAAAAAAACAGAAAAAAAGTTTGAGTTGAGGTTCGATATGTTTTCTGCATGCCGGTAGCCATTAGCAAATAGATTATAGGCTAAATTAGTAGAACTAAAGCTAGAGAAATAGATACTCATATAAATAACTATTGAATAATTTAAAATTCTTTATTTTCAGTTGTGCCAATTGGACAGCAAATGGTTTTTGTACAAATTCGTTCTATACGGTAGAACAACGTAAATCATATTGCGCTAAGAGTTGTCGTTACTGCTAAGTTAATTAACATTATAATAATTAATAAACTTAATAAATTATCGAATGGTCATTTTCTGCACTTATTTCGATCTAAAAATACTGTTTAATTAGATAAGGAGCTTGATTATTTTACAAAACGTTGATCTTAATCATCACTATGCTCTTGAGCATTCTTCCTACTGAAATCTTTAAAGAGAGAATGAATAACGAAAATAATAGATAAAAGAAGAAAATAAACAGTCAAAACTAATCGAAGAGCTTACTGATCTTTCAAAACTGGCAACTATTCAATGTTGAACGATATTTTAACATTATCTATGAGAAAAGGAATCACCGCCAGATTACCAACACGTAAGAAATTCAATAATGAATGATTAGTAAGAGATTATTTTCACATTTAACAATTTCATTTGATAACTTGGAATGTTATTGATAAGCCAAATTGCAGTAGATAACAGCTTCGTATCCTCTGAGTTTATGAGTGCAATTGTGACTTTTATGCTTTTAATATAAGCGTTTCATATTAACTCTACCTTCTTTTCATGTTTTTTTTTTCATTTTGTTGAGTTTTAGAGAAAATAATACATGGGGCGGATACATCCCGTCTCTCTATTGGTTTTTCTCGTTGGCATAGCCATTGGGATATCAGGAGCCATATTAGCCATTGTTTTTGGAACAAGCAAAAGTAACAATTTACACTTACTGATTGAACATGCTTTATTATATATACGTATAGATTCATGTCCTGCTTGTACAAACCAATGTACAGCAGAGCTGTTCAATTTACAAGTTGGTATTAAGAACAGTGTTCTATCATGGTCTCCACAACTAGCTGACCCGAATAGTCCTGAATTTATGAATGAATCACAAACTATTTCGAAACTTGTGAGTTTTTCATGAAGTTAGACTTGAAGAAATTCAATTGATTTAGTTAGAACAGAATCTCAATCCCATTCAAGGTTCAGCTAAGCTCTTTGTATCTTCTCAATTAAGTCAATCCTCATCCGCACCCTCGAATATGGTAGTCACTGTCACTCGTTTTGAGTAATTAATTCATTTACTTTTCCAAATCCTAAACATTCTGTTCATTAAGCCAAGCCGCTGATGGGAGTGTCATAGCCACAGCCTTCGGTGCCCAAGTTGGACCTCCAACAAACGCGCTTCCACAAGATATTACAAGTGGTGTCCAAAACCAATTAGTTTCTTCCAACATCACGACAGGGCAAGTCACTGTGTCAGGTGAGCAACATGTCCAACGAACAAACGAACAGTCTTATTTAGATGATCCTACTGGGCTCTGCAATCAAACGATGTATACAACAATAAATCCAACATCTACGCTCTTCTCTACGCTAGGAACAACTCAATTAATAACAGAGAGAAGTACACAAAGCACAGCTGCCCAGAAAACGACCGCAGGAACAACACCGACTAGGGCTCAAACATCGAAAATGGGAACGTCACCAACTCCGGCTCAAAATTCAACGATAGGAACCTCACCAACACCGGCTCCAAACTCAACGAAAGGAACATCACCAACTAAAGCTCAAACTTCTACATTGGGAACAACAGCAACTCCGGCTCCAACTTCCACTATGGGAACATCACCAACTAAAGCTCAAACTTCTACTTCGGGAACAACAGCAACTCCGGCTCAGACTTCTACTATAGGAACATCACCAACTAAAGCTCAAACTTCTACTTTGGGAACAACAGCAACTCCGGCTCAGACTTCCACTATAGGAACATCACCAACTAAAGCTCAAACTTCTACTTTGGGAACAACAGCAACTCCGGCTCCAACTTCCACTATTG